AATGCTAATAACAATTCCAATTTACAAAAGGGATATCTTTATGTCAACAAAATAAAAAATAAAAAGACAATTGATTTTTATTATAAAATAAAATCATGAGCATATCTCTATTAATTAATGAAATCATTTTTGTCAACCAAAAGAGGGTGAAAAGACAACTTCGTCTATTATCACACAAAAAAAATGATGGGCAATAATGTAATTTCACAGGTCCAAATTTTACAGTTTTTTTATTGAAGCCTCATTTACAGGTGATGTTAAAATATCTCTAATATTTAAAATTTAAAAAAAAAAAAACCAAGAACAAAAATCTCCCACTCCTCCCACGTTCTCTCTCTTTCTCTCTCCCTCTCTCCCTCTCTTCTTCTCATTTTCTAAAAAAATATATTCATACACACAAAATATGTAGCCAAATGCTAGTATAATTATGAACAAACTAAATTTTACATTTTTATTCAAACACTACACACACGTTATCATAACATCTTTAATTTGAAAAAGAAAAAAAACATCCACATTTCTTCTCTCTCTCTTGTCTTTCACGTTTTCCTTCAACTTTTCTCCTTTTTGTATTATAATTTTTATTCTTTTTATATTTTATATTGGGTAAAGTACAAAAAACTACCTCAATTATGGGTCAAATGACACTTTCATACCTCATCTTTTAAAATTGACAATGTCATACCTCATCTTACGAATTTGTGTCAATGTTATACCTTCCGTTAGCTTGGCCGTTTATTTCTCAGTTAAATGTTGACGTGGTTTGATTCGGGACCCATTTTTATTAAAAAATTATTAAAAACAAAAAAAAATCATTTAATATTATTAAAATATTAAAATAATAAATAAAAGTTATTTAAAAAAAAAAAAAAAACCAACATCAATTCGTCCCTTCCCCCCCTCTCTCCCTTCTCCCCATCTTCATCTTCTTCCCCTTTCTACAACTGCTACCCAGAAAAACAGAAGAGAAAAAAAAAACAAAAAAAAAACCAATTTGTTTTCCCTGCTCCCCACCCCCTCTTCTCCCCACACCCACGCACCCAACCTCCCCACCTTCGCACCCCACCCTCTGCACCCAACCTCGCACCCACTACCTACAATCCAAAAAAAAAAAAAAAAACCCAGAAAAAAACCCATTCTCCTAGGCGAGGAGAAAATGGGCAGTGGGGTTGGGGGGTGGGGGAATGGGTGTGGAGGGGAGAGGGTGGGTGCGAGGGGGGGCGGACGAACTGGGTATTTTTTTTTTGCAAGTTGGGTGGGTGGGTGAAGGGTTTCCCGTTGTTTTTTGTTTTTTTTTTCTTCTCTCTTCTTCTGCTTCCCTCTTCTTCTTCTTTTTCTTCTGCAGGTTGGGTGGGTGGAGGGGACGGGTTTGCCGTTTTTTTTTTTTTTTTTTTTTTTCCTTCTCTCTTCTTCTGCTTCCCTCTTCTTCTGCAGGGGGGACGAACTGGGTCTCCCGTTCTTCTTCTTCTTCTTCTTCTTCTTCTTCTTCTTCTTCTTCTTTTCTGGGTTGCAGGAAGATGATGGGGAAGAGAGAGAGGGGAGATGCACGAAAGGAGAGGTTTGTTTTTTATTTTTTTTATGTACTTTATTATTATTATTTTAATATTTAAATAATATTAAATGATTTTTTTTGTTTTTAATAAATTTTTTATTAATTTTTTAATAAAAATGGGTCCCGGATCAAGCCACGTCAGCATTTAACTGAAAAATAAACGGCCAAGCTAACGGAAGGTATAACATTGACACAAATTCGTAAGATGAGGTATGACATTGTCAATTTTAAAAGATGAAGTATGAAAGTGTCATTTGACCCATAGTTGAGGTAGTTTTTTGTACTTTACCTTTTTATATTTATATACACATAATGTGTGAGTTTAATCTTCGTTTTGTTACTTATTAATTAATCAGGAGAGAGAAAAGCATTTAAAAGTAAAAAAAAATTATATTTTTCTAGAAATAGTGTGTATTTTGTTCACTTCCAAAAATAGTGTACGTTACTTTGGTTCAGTTTTCAGAAATAGTGTGTAATTTTGCCATAGTTCCAGAAATAATATGAGTTATTTTGATTCATTTTCAAAAATAATGTTGATTATTTTGTTGTAGTTTCAGAAATAGTGTTTATTTTGCTTCCAGAAATAGTGTGGATTATTTTAGTTACATTTCAGAAATAGTGTGAATTATTTTGGTTACGTTTAAAAAATGGTGAGGATTATTATAATTTTTTGTTTATCTTTGAAAAAAATTTAAAGTATTATAATTGAGTAGAAGCATAAAGGCATCATTTCCCTTCATGATAAATTCCAAATGTTAACGTGACTAAGGAAATTTAAGGATTCTCTTTAGTGTGGGTGAATTCATATAATCGCAACTAAGCATAGAGGCCTTCCTGTTTGTAGCTTGATTCATTCCTTGTTTTAATATAGTCATGATGATGTTTTCCTCACGTCATCCATCGATTCCATCCCTCTGTATATGCAAGAGATGAAGAAGCTAATTAGCTAACAAAAATAAAGAATGTTAAGGAGAAAAAAACAAAGAGAAAAAGAAAATAATATATGTGTGTGTATATCCTATATGTGTGTATATATATGTATACGTATATGTATATAAACACACATGCCCTATATGCAAAGGGATCCCTATTTTTTGAAAAAAATGGGGATTAAGTGTGGGCCCACTCCACATCAAACTTAACGATCCGAACAGTCTATTTTGTAAGTCTCGTTTCATAGATCATCTTTACAAAAATTCAATTCAATCCAAAACCATTTGCTTATCTAATTATTAAGATAAAATTTTATTGTTTCTTACGTAACAAATTATTCGTTAATTTCTTTGAACTAAATTAGATGTCTTAAACATTTCTAATTTTGCTAATACTTTGCAAGGATAATCTATAAGGTGCAACTTGAAAAATAAACGGTTCGGATAGTTAAAGTTTAATGTGGTGTGAACTTTACAACCAATTCCCATTTTTATAAAAAAATGGAAATCACTTCCCCCGTGTGTGTGTGTGTACACGCACCTTTGTCGTCATCATCTACAAGTTGCAAAGTTGGAGATTGTTGGGCGGCCGCTTATTTGTAGGCTTTAAAGTCTTTCTTTCTTCTTCACAAGAAAGGATGTTTTCATTCAAAATTACCTCAGCCATCTCCAATCACCTATAAACGTAAACAGAAAATTCAATTACGGAACATCGAATTCTTCTCTTCTTCATCAAATTGAAAGGTTAACAATCAGATGAATGAGGAGGAAAGGGCAGAAATTTACTTTTGGTTTTTTTGCCGATGTCGGTGAAAGTTCAAGTCCCTTGCTCAAAGCTGCTATGCGATATTAGAAAGAATGGAAGGTTTTGAATGTTAGGAAGAAATGGGGGAGACAGAGCATATGAGAGATCTCCATAAATGGGATTTGAATATCTTCCGGATCCAAATTGTGGGGATCCTAGGAATCCTCACATCCTAACCGATTATCGTATATCATACAGTCAGAAATTATTTTGAATTTTTTTATTTAAAATCAAACATAAATAGTATGTAATGAAAACTGACCGTACGATGTATGATGAACGGCTAAAATGTGAGCATGATGAAATTGAGGTTCCACTATAAAACCAATTGGCAATATGAGGAGTAACCCAAGACCATATAAGAACATAGCAAACATTGTCCCTCACCAATGTGGGATAACTCTCAACACGTCCTCGCACGTGTAGCGGATTTTCAAGCCTACACGTGGACAACAACTGGGTGACGTGACGCGACGCGCATGTGGCCGTTGGGCTTCACACGTGAACAACCTTGCTCTGATACCATGATGAAATTGGGATTCCACCATAAAACCAATTGCCCATATGGGGAGTAACCCAAGATCATATAAGCACATAACAAATTTTTTCTCTCACCAATGTGGGACAACTCTCAACACTTTAGGATCCCCACAAAAGAATCCGAAGAGGATCCTCATATCCATAAATGAAGAGAGATGCTTGTCGTTAGGGACAAAATCGTAAACTCAATGTTTGGCCCATTTTAATTGGATTGATTTAGTGTTTAGGTTTGTTCTAACCATTAAATAAAGTTATTACATGACTTTTGGTTAAAACTCAAAGTTTTCAAATTCTTTTTATTTTATTTTAAATCCATTTAATTGCATTCTTTTAGATGTAAATACGAATATTAATTGGAAACTTTATTTATTTATTTTATTTTAACAAATGATATTATCTACACTAAGGAGGAGGGGTGTGCTTAGCCTCACAATGAACTAGCAATAATGTGGTTCAAATTCGCCTTTGGCGAAAATCAAACCTAAGACCTCTCATTTATAAGTAAATAGGAATACTACTAGACCGTAGTACGAAATAACAATATTAATTGGAAACTTGAAGTGTGTCAACAAATATTGATGGATGGTGAATAAAGATTCAAGGCATAAACAAAAGAAGGGCGGAAGCCTAATGCAAAAGAACTCGCCAACCACCGGATTTAAACCTCAAGAGACCTCCAATTTAAAAGTAAAAAAGAATATTATTAAACCGTAATACTGAGTAGTCTCGTTTGAAAAACTTTACTTGTGACACTTATACTATTAATAATTAAATATCAAATAGCTAGAATCAATTTTTAGCACTAAAAGTTATTTTAAATTGATCATGGCACAGGATGTGAATATTTCCAAATTAAGAAGAAAAAAAAGATACAACATTCTTTTTAGCTTCTCACACGTCCCTTTTAAATCCTGTCCGTTGATTCTGTTTGACTTATCCGATCTGATGATTAAATATTAATAGAGGTGTGTGAGAAACTAAAAGAGATGTGTGAAAATCACATCCATTTCCGAATACAAGAGGTTTCCATAGGCTAGGGAAGACCTCTAGCAGGGAAGGAAATATAACCTACATGCACCGTTGGAAATATGCTGTCATGGTTGCTGTAAAATAAAATTAAAAAAACACTGAGTTCCTCCCAATTAATCATCAACTGAAACAGCAATAGAAAGAAAGGGGGAAATTAACCTAGCATATATTTATAGATACAACAAAAATTGGGGAGAACTGATACACATATCACATTCAATGGATTCCTGGATGGAAATACATATAGTTTTTACAACGTGACGGTTTTCATGAGACTACTCTGAAACCGAAAACAACCAAACAAGAGCCGTATACTATATCTCATTTGAACGTCGAGAGCCTTGGAAGCTTGTCTCTCAAATAGTACAACCTCGCCCTCCTGACCTTCCTGTGACTCAGTACCTTTAGCTCCTTAATGTTTGGTGAGTATCTGAAATGACAAGCAATAGAAACTAAAACCTATCACACAAAAATATTCTTAACGGTAAATATGCTTATAAAGCTCTAATTATTTCAAAACTCAAGGGAAGGCTTTAAGGGGAGAAATAGCCAGTAAGCATGGTAACACTCATACGAGCCTAAGCGTCATCATCATGAATCCAAAACTGAATTCTAGGCATATTCTACGGGAGACAGGGTTTTTCTTCTCTCGTATATTTTATTAAGTACAAAAAGTCGAAAACACAATGAGAAAGAAACCCTTTTGGGATGGTTGGGGGTGAGAAGAATCCAATAAAATCCTTTGCAACCTCCTAGTGCCTGCTTCTAAAATGATTTTATCACCTATGCACCCAACTACAAATATGGGTCGAGTTGTTTAAATTTCAAAGAATGAAACATAAAGTTTGCAATGAATTCGATTAGACTAGAAAATCCTAATAAATAACCATCAGTGACTATAAATATCCAACATAGATTTCTCCACGTTAGGTTCTTCAGAGTCATGTCATCAGAATTCAGAGATATGGCGACGGATCAAAGCCCACTGACTCAAAAAAGACCTCATCGGTAACTGTAGCCGAAAGTTAATCATGTATAGCCCGATTAGTTATTTGCGAAGTGTTATTGGACCACATTAAACATATGATTCTGCAGAAAAATCAAGCTGAGCATGTAGAACATAAAAGAAAAACTTACAGGGGGAACACAATCTCAACCCCTATGCCAGCAATAATCCTCCGAATGCGAATAGTTGTGTGAATACCAGCATTTTGTCTTGAAATGACAATGCCTTTATAGATAGACAACCTTCTCTTATTTTCAGGAACTTCCTGTAAGTCATACACATAAAAAGAATCACAACAGATGCAATCGGGGACGGCATAAATCTGGAGAAATGAAGCAGAACCACTATTACCAGTTTAATTTGCACAACATCTCCAGTTCTAATGTCGGGAACTGGCCTTTCCTGCTCGGCCGCCTCAACTGCCTTTTTATTTAATATCTAAGCAAACAGAAGAATTCCGGTCAACATTAATCTCGGGTTTTAACAATCACTTAGGGTTGAATGGCGAAAAACCAAACGACAAATACCCTGTTTAAATACATTCCAGCTAAAAAATAGCCAATGAAAAATGCATATTTTGAAATCCCTGCTACTCTGCTGAGAATATAGAACGCAATGCAACATCGATATCATTTTCATTCCCACATAATGTCACCCACAGCATAATGATATCGATTTCAAAATTATGTCCTGGCGGGTTCAATTCTTCACTTTTGTTACATTTTCACACAGAGCAAGCAAAGCAGCAATAGAGAGAGAGAGAGAGAAAAGGGAACAAATTACCCCCATTATATCGCCGAGCTTAACCCGAGACTTTCTCAGCGGCTTCGGCTCTTCGGATTCAGGCTCCAGCACTGCTTCTGCTTCAGCTTCTACCATGGCCACAGAGGCCTCTCCGCTCCCAGTTGCTTCATTCTCTTGGGCATCATCAGTGCCTCCGACTTCACCTTCAGAGCTCGGGTCTGCTCTCACAACGAAGTTCCGTTTCGATATCGCGGAAACAATGGGACTGAAAACGGACCCAATTGAGCTCGATGAAACCCTAGAGAGCGAAACCCGGGTGGAATTGGAAGAGCGGCGAGAGAGGGCAGCTGAAAACCCGAGCTTTACTGACGGGTATTGATTAGGGTTTCGTGGAATTGTTATCAGAGCCTGAAAACCCACAAATTCATCAATTTCCGTCCACATTATTGCTACAATTCACACACACGCACACCACACACACAACACACACCACACAGACACGGACCAAATGTATTGAGAGAGAGAGAGAGTACCTGTGGAAGAATTTTGGAGCCCATGGGAATTAGGGTTTGTGGGAAATGAGGAAATGGTAGAGAGAGAGAGAGAGAGAGTTAGAGAGTAGAGGTCATGGGAGTAACCATGGAGTCTGCTTCGAAGAGGAAAGAACGAGGAGGACAGACGGCCTTATCTGTTCCATCTATTCACGCTTCCTTTTTTTTGTTTTGTTTTTTTTTTGGAATATTTGTTGCTCGTAGTTGGACTTGTAAAGCGATCGGAGATGGGTCGGACCACCCTATATCCGATCCGATTTTGAACCGTTTCAAAACAATCCGATTCGATAATTCGACGGATCTTCTAAAATTAAGTCCATGTCCGTTTTGTTGGTCAGGGGCGAATCTTATTATGGGACACTGGGACACGTGTCCCCTTTAAGTTTTTGGCCTAAAAAAAGATAATCTGAACAGGAATTAAGGTCCCGCTTAAATTAAAGTTGTCTTTCGACATTCGATACGATGTTGAATCAGTTGATGATGAATAATAATCAACTCACCACCACCAACGCTATCATTCGCTTCTCATCCAAAATCACTAGAAGACGGATATAACATAAAAATGTTTAGTTGTAAAATTGATTCGGGTAGCTCATGAAGAAGAATTATCGCATCTCATATGTCTAATAAATTTGACCTCTCACCCTTATACATATATAATTTATCTATTTGTTCACTATAACAATCTTGACCCTAAAGATACAATTAAAATGATACAAAAGATAGAGATGTACACTAAGCACACAATAAGTATAGGTCGGCCAAATGTTTGAGAAAATACCTCACTTAAACATTGGAAAAAAAAAAATTTGCCGTTACGAGCGCTCTTTTTAGCCGACATAATGTCTATTATGTTCTATATCTTTCCCCGTTCTTTATAAGGTTTATTTGTCTTTTCGCAATGTTTTTAATTTATGTGAGTTATTCGGGAACTAAGATCAAACACCATCAAAAGCGTTTGCCTGAAAGGGCCCTAACATCTATCACAAGGTTCGCGAAACGTTCTTCTTCGGGACCAACAACTGAATTTTGGCCCAAAAGTGCAAATTTTTTAAAATCCCAAATAATAAATAATCACTGAAATTACCAATATACAACATACAGAGATCTTAAAACCTATGAATATAGATCAAAATTTTAGATTTCAACATTGGAGTGTTACATGTCGAGGGGTTTGCTCCATGCCCCACGTTGTTGTAGATAACAACGTGTTATCCGATGGTACAAGACAAAAGATGCTACAAACTCATCCACATGATACTTCATCATGTGAGATGCTAGAATGACCAACTCAAAGGGGCTGAAGTTCGACGCTGATCTTTTTGGTTGTTAAGTTATAGTAGCACTGAGCAACATCCACGGCCCCATTCTGGTTTGCACTAAAGTGCCTTAAGTAGCCCCATTCTGGTTTGCACTAAAGTGCCTTAAGTAGCCCCCGAAGAGTCCCTTTATTCTCTCTGTCTGAGCTTTCAAAGGTATACCGACCATAGGCTGCTTCGGTTTGGGATTAGGAAGAGAGAAGTTTCGACGGCCCTAGCCGAATCTGTAAATGGAAAACATGACAATGGAAATTGAGGGTTTGACAACTTTGAAAGGGTCTGCAACTGTGGATGTGTTGGTTGAGAAAATAAATTATAGATTTGGTTGTGGCGTTAAGAGCTTGTTGGGTTAGAAGGGATACTACTTTGGTATAAATGGAAGTCCCTCTTACTTATGTGGTGAGTTTATGTAACAACTATTTGTCCAGCGTCAGGTTATAAGTTGGTATTGCAATTTACGATCATGCTCCTATGTCCTCACTCTTAAGTTTCTAACAAAATAGTGGCTAAAGTCACAATCTAGTTTTCCACATGTTATTTTGGGTGTCGCGTTACCTGCCACAAGACTCCTCTTGTTGTTTTATAGTTGGTTCATGAATAAAGTCTCCGTCATACCACTGAGATCAGGTTCTTAAAAAAGAAAGTAAATCCACTGCTTGGTTTACAGGAAGGGAGAATAGGGAGGTGAAGTGGAGAAGAGAGGGGGCTGTCATCGACTCGAAGCCAGAGGGGAGTTGGTGACGGGAAATGTGGGTTGGGTGTTGGGTTTTCTTTTAGAAGATAACTTGGGGTTTCTTTAAGAAATAACATTTGATATTGCTTTTCACTTGTAAATAGGGGGTTTTAAGTTCGAATATCGTTGATAGCGAATTCGATACTAATTTATTATTGCCTCATTGTGTGACTCAGCCCCATATTCCGACCCTTTAATGTAAATATATAGTTGTCTAAAAAATAAAAAACAAAGAAGAAGAAATCATTAGCAAACTACGATTGTTAAACTACAATAATCGAAACAATACAAAATTAGAGATTCTCTCAAATTATAAGCAAAAGGTCTTATATTCGGCATAATGCAACTTTATGATCTAGCTTTGATTTGCCTTGGGACATTCCATATTGTCCCTTATCATCAAATGTGTCAATTTTTTTCCCATCAAATTGAAGTATCTCGGGGCCTTCTGCAAATTGATCTAGTTTGATTTGCCTTGGGGACATTCAATATGGTTTATTTATGGTGATGGAATAAATGTGCAACGCATAGTGCTGTCAATTAGACGTTTTGGGATTCTTTGGGCTTTTTGGCGTCCAAGATAGTGTCTTTTGGGTTCAAGGCCTTCTGCAATTATGTTCGGGACATCTCAAGCTTTAATTCTAGCTATTTTGGGCCAATTTTGGAGCCTTAAAGATCTAGAAACGTGGATGTTTTGAGACTATGCAGATTCTGGGCAAATTTTACTAGTCAATTTAGGATTATGTTTCCTAATTTATTTTAATTTATTTGGTTTCCTAGTATTATTCTAAGACCTTTTCTAGGTAGGGTTTTATTTTCTAGTAGTATAAATAAGGCTTTTTAGTCATTAAAGGTTGAGAGGGGGAGAAGGAGAGAACGCACACACACTTTAGAAAGCTTTTGGATTCAAGTTTATTTTTCAAGGTGTTTTCTATCCTTGTTTTTAATAATATTTTGTTGTATGATTGTTAGTAACTAATTTCTATTTGCTAGGGCGAGGCCACGAGCCTTAGCAAGAATATGTAGTTTCTTTTCAGTTTGCTTATGATATTTTGCATGTAGATTTTGAATTATTAATCATCGGTTTAAACTATCTAATTGTCTTAATGCTTAGCTACCATTAGGATCTTTAGAAAAGTAATTTGATACAATTTTGGTCGGAGGACGATCCCTGAAATTGATGAAGGCTTCTTGTGATTAATATGTGCAAGTTCATTTAGGATGAATACCACGTCTTAAGGGTTGTATGGTTTTTCAAAAGGTTTCACAAAGCATAATGAGTCATGCATGTTTAGATTTGATATGAATATCACAGACGGATTGCATGTTTGATATACGCTCTATGTTGGGGTTCCAAGTAGGCATATATTAGGAAAACCTAACCTTTAAAATATGCATGTGTAATTCATAAGTAAATGGAATAACTACATAGGATTGTTAAGGTGACGCAGGAACCCTAGGCTTTTACGATTTTAATTTTCAAAAACTGTTTTCTTTTAGTTTATTTTATCTTGTCATTTTATTTAATTGTTTTCTATTAAAATCGTTTTTATTATTTTAAATCATAAAATCGACATTTTTCTCAACTTTTTTTTAAATAATTAATTAAGATTTGATTTAACACAAATTATTCATTCAATTTTTGTGGATAACCACCATGTTAGAGATGCTATACTACGATAACTTTGTACTCTTGCAAGTATTTCTGTGGAGCAAAAATTAGTTCATTGCCTGACTAGGTACCTAGGAAATTCAAAATCTGCTTGAATCTAGAATAATGATTAGTGGGAAATTATTTCAGAAGAATACTTGCAACCAAGTAGAGACGTTCAAGTACACCTTATCGATTCACTACTTGCTTTCAGAAGCAATGACTATACTTCCACAACATATGATATTATTTAATATTGTTTCTACAAATTATTATTAGAAAAAAGATATATCGTCAATTTAAAAAAAAAAAAAAAAAAAAAAAAAACAACAACAACAACTTTGACCCAAGCATAAACCAGTACTTTGAGCATCCAATGGGACAATTTCAAGAATAACAACAAAGCCTTTTTCATGAATAATGATAATAAATTATCTTCCTGTATTGTAAAATCAGGCTTCTTGTTGTATTAAAACTTAGAGAAAAGATTGTGTGACTACTGCCTTCCACAACAAGTTACACAGTGCACACATGCATCTCTGGTTAAAGTGTGTGTGTGTGTGTGGGGAGGGGGGGGAGATGGGACGGAGACATGTTCATCACTACATCAGTCTGAAATAATCCATGTTAAATATTTGATAAATATGGGAACGTTGGATAATCATATGTGAAATAATAATTAAGACTCAGAAAACAAGGTGTTTTCTAACACAGGTATTTCATTCTCCAAATTGATATGTAATGAACCAATATATCAACGAAATATCATATATGTAAGCCTGGGATAATAGATGTTAAAGTCAGATGGATACAATACAGTTCATCCACACAAAAATAACTAATATAATGTACACTTAAGAAATATCCAAAAAGGCAAATGAATTGGGTATTTCTGCTAAGAATCAATGAATGTAATTTCTTGCTGATGCTAACTTACTGTTTTTTCAGAGCCACATATGAATTCAACTCTTTGATCTGCACAATAGTTCAAGCTGTCAACACAAGTATAACGTGTTAAAAACAATTAATACACACAAGAAGATAATTAAAACAAAGGATTCTGCTGGTATTTGGGTCATTTAGGGCTGGTTTGGTATTACTGTGGTTTTAAAAAAATCTGCTTTGGTAAACTTTTATGTAAAACAGATGTGAAAAAAAAATGGTTTTTCAAAGTTGGGTTTTGCAGCTTCTTGTTTTTGGCTTTTTTTCACCCAAAATTGTGAAAAAAAACTGAAGCTGAATGTTTACCAAACACAAAAACAGCTCATAATTTTTTTTTATACAACTTTTTTCAGAATCACTTAGTATCAAACCAGGCCTTATTCTCTCCATATTCTTCACTTCTCCATCCAATTCTTTGATAAGCCTGAAAACAACACAACATACAAACTTATTCACAGGACACCCAAATTGATGAGTGTCACAGGTTGGAATTCAAACA